TCATCCAATACTTTTGTTTTCTTGGAAACTGGAGGGGTTTCTAAATTAAACAAAAATAAGACAACAGAAGGAGTATAGTTAGTCAAAGTATAATATGGCAGTAGGCTATAGTCATATAGAACAGTTTTAGTATATTATATACATACATAAGTGTGTGTGTTTATAAATATATAAAATGTGCACATATAATATGTCTATATAATATTTATGAAGTGTATGTGACATGAGTAGGTAGGTTTAAGTAGGATTTTTATGATGCTTCTGAATAATTGTAGAATGTATGAACAGTACCTTCCATAGTTTCCGTTTCCCTCTCATCACACATCTGGGCATGGGGAGGTGTTTCCTGGGCCTGGACCTCTGGTTCATTCTGTAACTGTCACAGACACATATACACTCATAAGCACCAACTTAATACTACATAAGAACAACACCCAACAGTTCAATGTAGACTGAAAAAATAATGCAACCATTTATGGCATTTACTTAATAATATTTAGTTACACAATTTAACAATTGTTTGGTGTTTTTTAGCAGGGTAGGGCATAAAACTAACTAGTAAATGCTAAAGCGGATGCATTATTTTTTTCAGTGTATTACCTTAAAACACAGTAACAGCACCAACGACTACTACAAGTAATAACAATTAATAATGATAAATAAATAAACGCTATACTATATTTTAAAAAGTATATTATGATAAACAACCTACCCTCTGTTCCTTCAGCTGTGCTGCTTCTTCAGCAATACATTCAAAGGTTTGGTTTCTTCTTTCATCACTCAGGAATTGGAGCTTTTTAAACCTAGGGTCCAACGCAGCTGCTCGGAGTAAGAACGGTTCCTCGTTCACATACCGTTCTCTGAGGTCCTCGGCCATGACTCGTTTCATGTCTTTGATCAAGGGAGTGTCGTCTTGTGTATATTCAAAATGTGTCAGCAACTTCGTTCTGAGGGGGCCGATGATTGACACTGTGGGTTGCTTTTCTTCGCACATGAGCGTGGTGGCAGCTTTCAGTGGGGCCAACAAGCTAACCACTTGCTCTGCTGCGGATAGGTCACCTTCCGTGAGAGTGCGAATCTCGCTTCCGCCTTTCCTCAGCTTGTTGTCCAGGAGGGTTGCCGTCACCGCAGGCTGTTGCTCCAGGAACCGCTCTAACATTTCGAATGAACTGTTCCACCTTGTCTTTACGTCCGCTTTAAGTTTGTGGCACGGGAGGTTAAGCAGTTTTTGCTTTTCCTTGTACACTGTGGTTGCTATTGCGCTGCGATGGAAAAAACTCACAATTCTCCTAACTCGACCCAAAAGCCTGTCTGTGGCTGTGAGCTTGAGGCCATCTTGAGTGGACAGATTGAGAGTGTGTGCGAAGCACATGATGTGGGGTGACATCCCGGACTCTTCCCCAGCCCTCTTCATGCATTATCCGTGACGAGGGCTGGTGCTTTGTTACTCAGACCCCACTCTTCACACGCAGCTCGTAGGACGTGTCCTATGCTAACTCCTGAATGTGTCTCTGCTAGCACACGCGTCTGTAACACGTAATTTTGCATCTCCCATTCGTGGTTAATGAAGTGGCATGTTACTGTGATGAAGGATTCTGTAGTGCAGGAAGTCCAGCCGTCACAGGTAACAGCTACGCGCTGTGCCTCCTGCAACTCTTGAATTACTCTATCACGAACTTTGGCATATAACTTTGGAATCAATGATTCGCTGAAGTGCTGTCGCGAGGGAATGCTATACCTCGGCTCCAGTGTGTCGAGCAGGTATCGGAAGCCTTCTTTCTCCACAACGCAATATGGACGTATGTCTGTACATATGAAGAACGCTATTGCCTTGGATAAATTCTTTGCCCTCTTAGAGCTGTGTGAAAACTTCTCCGGGAAAAATGTTGTCAGTGGCGACGAAGAGGGCTGTACTTTTTCTACGCCTTGGACATCATGGCGTCTTTTCAGGTGAGCAGACAAATTGGATGTGTTGCCACAGTAGCGTATTTCGCAACGACAAGCTCTGCAGATAGCAATATCCTTCAGCAGTTTTTTTCCATCCTTACGGAACCCAAAATACTTCCACACATAGGACTTGTACCCGCCGCAAGGTGTGTGTAAGTTGTTTTCTTTTTTCACTCTTTTGTCTACCTCTTCTTCCAACTCCGCTGTCTCCGCCATGTTTGTTTTGCATACTGTTGAAGCGAGTTTGTGCAAGCGGAAAGAGGGTGTGGCTAAAGCAAGCGAGGTAGGAAGGCAAAATAGGTATAGCGCCACCGCAGCACGGGAGTCAGAATTACGGGGAAAGGAAAGAAAAATAAAAAATTGACCGGAAGAAAAAAAAAAATAATAATAATCGATTCTCTTGCGGACGTATCGATGCATCGGATCGTCGGCTGTTGGATCGATGCATCGATACAAAACGATTATTATTTACACCCCTACTTTAAAACACACCTGTGGCGCATCTCATCATCAGAAGTCCAGCCCTATATAACCTGCTTCCAGACCTTGCTTCGACGCCGCAGTGTTGATCTAGTTTGGTTAGCGACCTGAGCCTAGTAACCTGAGAATCTAGCTATCTCTTGATGAGATCAGATTCTAATTCTTCCTTGTTTTCTGCCTCACAGGAATCCTATCTCTACCTGAGGCTCTGGATGAGCTTAACCTGCCGTTTCTGCCCTCGTGAGCCAAACCTGAAGACTCCTCTGTGGATTCTCCTGCAGCTCTTGGCTAAGAGCTGGAAACTCAGATCAAGGTTAACTCTCAAAGTCAGAAGCAAGACGCTGAAACGATTATCGGACTCTGCTGAACAAACAGTCTCTGGACCCAATAGTTCTCTCTCTCAAAGAGAAACCCGGACTCCTTCAAGGTATTCTTCTGAAACATCAAAGACTCATAACTCGTCAACTCGTTTGGTAACTGAACTGTCATCTCTACAGACCCCAGTGAACCTGCCCCAGACCAGTTCCAGTGCAATTTCATGTGCTTGTGAAACAATAAACTCTGTTAAACTTTTTATCCAGTCTCCGTGTGTGTTCTGCATCTTGGGCTAGCTCTGATACCCA